TTTCAGAAAATTCTGAAATTATAACATATATTTCCAATTATCTATATAAATTAAAAATATATCATCCAGAAATTTAATCTCATCTATCCAAGAGAATTTATTTATACTATAAATTATATTAAAATTAAAAAATATATATTCAAATTATATTAATATTAATTTAATGAATTTCGAAAGAAAATATTTGAATCTTATTTCAATAATATCTTATTAAAATATAATCTTCTTTGCTAGTATCTATATTATCAAATATTTTTGTAAAATTCATAAGTTTTTTTCATCATTATCTTTAAAATAATAATCAAAGTTTGAATCCATATTTTTGCCACAATAATTGTATTATCATGATTAAAAATATTTATTTGCTCGTATCTACCAAATATTCGTCCCAATCTCTTGAATATTTTGAATGAAATTCAAATTCTTGAATTTCCCGCGGCAATCCAGAATGAGCTGCATCTTCTAATATCATATCCATTCCCGATCTTTTTCTTGTAGCCTCGAGCTAATAACATTCGAGCGCATGGGCACCGATGGCCGTGTAGAGCTTATAACTCCTCTCGAGCCATCGAAGCTTGAGTGCGTGTGCATCAATGACCTTTTAAAGGACCATTTGCACAAAAATGCCTCGTAAGTTAAGCTTGCGTCTGTGACGCTGGAAGCAGAACACATCACAGGATATAACATACAATTCGCCGCAGAATCAAACCCCTATCAGATCCCACTTTTGTTGCTGGGTGAGGTCGTCCCGGCCTAAGATCTCTGCCTTCTCCTTGTCGCTCAGCGGTCCACGGCTCGGCTCGCTTTCGGCTCTGGCCTTTTTCGCGGCTTCCACCTCAGCCAGATTCTTTTGATGGGCTGCCTCCATCTCAGCAAGGATTGCAGCCCGCTGCTCGTCTGTGGGGCCAAAAGAGAGGGAGGATTCCTGTTGGGGTGCCATCATTCCGCCACGCAGCCCAGCCAGGCCCATGCCGGGAATTCCGCCGTGCATCATGTGGGAAGACTCTTCCTGGGCCTCCCTTTGGAGGGCTCGGACGGCGCCAAGGCCACTGCCGGCGGCCGTTGGGCTTGAGTCATCTTTCGGCTCGTCCCCACCGGGGCTTCCAGTGGCTCCCTCTCCAGGAGGCAAGCTTTTGCATTGGGACTTCATCCATTCGGGTTCGCTCCTGGGCTTGCTCTGTTCCTTCTTCCGGTCGGCCAAGAATCTCAACATCTTCGGTGGGAGCTTGGTCTTGGCGTGCTCTGCAAAGTCCTTGGCAATATTTTCCGGAATCTCCCAAAGCTCCATGTAAGACTTTGTCACCATCGGAAAGAGCTCGGGATCCTCGAAAACTCGGATGCCAGGCTGCTTCCCACCTCGCCAGCTTTCAGCCTCATCGGTATACCATCCACCGTTGTCGTAGATCTCCTGCCTGATGCGTTTGGCTTTTTCTCGGGCAGCCTTCACCTTCTTGGCCCTCTCCTGAAGACTTCTCCAAAAACGGGGCACGCAAGTGGACCCGGGACCTCTCCCTTATAACCCTAAACCCTAAACCCCTAAAATCCTATAAACCCTAAACCCCTAAAGCCTAAACCCCCAAAACCCCTATAAACCCTAATGAAACCCTAATGAAGCCCTAAACCCCTCTTTCAATTGAAGGATCCCCGAATTTCTATGGGACCTACCCAGAGACTCCAATATCCCTTAATTAAGAAATAGGCCTTAAACTATACTAGGAGCCCTAATATGATTAAAGGTATATTCCTTAATTAAGGAATATGCCTTAAATCATAATATTAAGGCCCCTATAATGTAAGGTATATTCCTGAATTAAGGGATATTTGGAGTCTCTGCCCTAAGGCTCATGGGCCCTCAAACGGAAAGAGCATTCAGAACCAAGGGTCCCAACGGAGGTACCGGGCCCTGTTTAGGAGGTTCCTTAGAGCCTTAGGGTGGTTACAGGTAGGGTTAAGGACCCTAAACCCTAAACCCTTAACCCTAAACAGGGTAGGAGCCCTAATATGATTTAAGGTTTCTTCCATAATTAAGGGATATTGGGACAATAACCCCTAAACCGCTAAACCCTAAACCCGAAATTCCCCTTTCGGAAAATGCCTTAAATAATAATAAGAGCCCTAATATGATTTAAGAATTAAGGAATATTGGAGTCTCTGGGTATCCCTAAACCCTAAACCCTAAACCCTAAAACCCTAAAGCCCTAAACCCTAAAACCCTTAGAGCTTTAGGGACCTGTAGAGCTTTCTCTGGAGCCCTCTCCTCGTCGTAGGGCGTGTCGGCTGCTCGAGAGCCGGGCTGGCTGACCTTCAGAACCTGGCAGTGTCTTCGTTTAGGGGTTTATAGGGTTTTAGGGTTTTAAGGTGTATGTACGTTTTAGGGGTTTAGGGTTTAGAATTTAGGGTGCTTTTTGGGCTTAGGGCCCATAAGGTTTATAGGGTTTATAGGGCTTGTAGGGTTTAGGGTTTGTTTAGGGTTTGGGGTGTCGTCCCTCAAGGAAGGGATTCCCTACCATACCATCTTAATCGTCGGCTTCCGTAGAAGGGCACCCCACCCCCAACAAAAGAAAGAGAGACATCCACCTGCACAAGCGTAAAGTAGTAACAGAAGTCTTTGATCGTCATCCAAAAGATTCCGTCCACCCGCGGTTTGAAGTCCAACTCCTTGCAGCAAGGTCGAGGAAGCGATTCTTAAGTGAACGAGTGGAGGTGATGTGGGTAGTTTTCCATATTAGAGGTCCGTTTTCGGGTCCTTAATTGTAAGGGTGCCCTACTATATTGGCGAGAACTACCCATGACACAAATGGCCACAAAAAATCAACTATGAAAACGCGAGAGCCACCCCTAAAGCCTAGACCCTAGACCCTGAACCCCTATAAACCCTAGACCCTAAACCCCAAACCCCTATGAAGCCCTTGAGTAAACTCTAACTCTGCATTGAAGCTCCACTCTAGTACGTGTATTGAACATTGTTGCACCTAGACCTATGCAAGCAAGCACACCTCCACCCCCGGAAAATGCTGTCCTTGGCCACTTCAGGATTCTCCTTCCACTTGTCAGAAGCATCGCACCAATCTCCCGTATACTCCTGCTTCTTCCCCCAGGGGTTCCGAACCCGCACTAACTGGAAGCCATGGCCCTCATAGCATCCCAAGACACCGTAGGCATGCTTTGTGACCAGACCATTTCCGATCTCACCTTCCTGCTCTTCGTCATCATAATCCGCATCCTTGAGGTTGGGATTCTTCTTGGCGACGATGCCTAGGTTCCCCAGAAACTCCTTAATAATAAGGGTACCCTTTTTCCTAGTACTCGGCTTTAATAAGGAGACACCAAAATAAAAAGGGCAAAAGGGTACTACTGGGGAGCCTAGATGCCACTGCACATAAGGTACTTCTTGTCATCAAACTCCTGGAGCACCTTGAAGAACTCTTCAGGCTGCAGCTCTTCCTTTTCGTGTACGTCCTCGTCCTTCTCACCCCAACGGACGTCCAGATCTTGGATGTCATAAGGGCTCTTCCTCCTAGCGAAGGTGCCATTGCCGCGCAATTGCCAGCAGTCGATGTCTCGGTCCGAAGCCCCTGTCATGATCTTCCAACCGGCGCTCACCATGTTACCGTTCAGCTGCATGTAGTTCCCGAAGAACTTGGCAAATGCCTTCTCCAGGATGCACATCCAGCAAGCATCATCGGTTGGATTCACGTAGATCAGCCTTCGGTCTTCCAAGAGAGCCCAAGACCCCTTAATTAATGAACATACCTTAAAGTATAGGGCCTTAAATATTATGATTTAGGGTATATTCCTTAATTAAGGGGTTTTGGGCTCTCTGGGTTCCTAGGACCCTGGAAAAGTTGATAATTTCTTTTATCTGCCTTTCTTCAACCTCTGATACCGAACCATTTAGGAACAACAGGAGAAGTCAAGACGCGGCTTCCCTTCGTAAGCCAGACCTCCCCCTAAGTCGATGGGAACGTAGGAGTCCACTTTCACATCTACCCACTGGACCAATCCTTCACTCCACAAGCGCACGACGTATTGCCCAATCTCGTTGTGCTCCTTTGTCAAGAAGAGTTTCTTCAAAGACTCCGGATACTCCGCCATGGTCGAGATGGCCGAGATGAGCCAACAGTCACCTAAAGCCCCCTGCATCAAACTCGCAGGATCAATGACGCCATCCTCCGGGAAGAGTGGCGTGCCGGGATGGGAATAAGAAATCGGGCACCAGGCATAGTTGGTAAGGCGCCCCGCAACGCTCAGGGCCTGCTCCTTCGTGATGCCTATGGATTTGTAGTTCAGAGGAAAGTCGGGGTCGACCCACAGCTTCTCGAGGATTTCCTTGGGGATCTTGATGTCATACTTGACACCATCACCAATCCCGGGCTGCTCCAAATCCACCACGAACTTCTTCTCCTCTTCACTGCCCATTTTACGCGGAAGATGCAGAAGGCAGGATGTGAAACTTGAGCTGATGGGCCGAGGCTAGATGAAAGACATAAGGCACCATGTTCCTTTCAGCAATGGTGCCGAGCTCGGGAGCTTGAAGCAGGAACACGCGATTTTCACCGAGGTCTTTCCGAGCACACCGTCGCCGCACTTTCGGCTCGACTGCACAGAGCATGGTGGTAGTGCGACAGTGCTGGGAGAAGTCCAAGTTAAGGTTGAAGGTTCAGGGTTTAGTGGGTTTAGGGTTTAGGGGTTTAGGGTTTAGGGTTTTAGGGCTAAGGTCCGAACAAGGGTTCCTCACTTTCGGGCTTCTGTGTTCTGTGTTGAGGGTCTTGGGCGAGCATGACGATGGAGAATCCCTTCGGAAAGCCTGACATCTTCACATTCGGAGATTTTTGTTGCAATATAACCCTACTGGTATGAATAGTCAGTTTTTGGCCCCGAAGACTATTCCACATATCTGCTACATAGTTCAAAAAAACGGTCTGAACTTTCTTGCACCAAAACCCTGTTCTATAGGCAACCCTAAACCGTAGTTTTATAGGCAACCCTAAAGCCCAAACCCTTAGTAGTTCTGGAAACCTAGGGTCCTCTGTGGAATTCCTTTTGATACGGGTGCCGTACTCAATTGGGGGCGCAAAAAGGACACCACTTTAGAGAACGACCCTAAATAGTGCCCGGATCCCTAAGAAAGTCTCAGACCGGCAGCTTCCGCTTCGTGGCAGCCGCCCCTGCAAAGGAGGTGGCTCAGAGAGCCCAATACCCCCTTTAATTAGGGAGTATGTACCTTACATTATAGGGGCCTTAATATTATGATCCTTAATTAAGGGATACACCTTAAATTGTAGGGGCCTTAAATTTGAGGTATCTTCCTTAATTAAGGGGTTTTGGGCTCTCTGGGGCGGCTCGGGGTTCTAAGGCTTTGGGCTAAGGGTCCTGCGAGACTTCGAAGGCTTTCCGCGCTTTTTGGGGAAGAAAGATTTGGGCTTTACATTAGGAGTTTGGGGCTTGGGGGTTTAGGGAGTTTAGGGTTTAGGAAATAGGGAGTTTAGGGCTTGGGTTTAGGGAGTTTAGGGAGTTTAGGATTTAGGGCTTCGGGAGTTTAGGGCTGCTTGGGTATTCGCGTTAAGGGCCTTGGGGCTTTTTTGAGAGTCTGGAGGAGGGGACCAGGACCCTGCCCGATGTGTCGGGCTTGGGTAAGGGAGCTTCGGATGGGGTTTGGGATTTTCACTTTTTGGGGGGCTTAGAGTTTGGCGTTTTGGGGGCTAGGGTTTGAGGTTTAGGCTTTGGGTGATGGGCTCTTGATTTGACGATGCTTGGGTTTTTTTGCTTAATCCCTGGCAAACTGTCGGATTTGACACTTTAGGGCCTTGGGGATGGAAAGTCTTACAGCGCCCAAAGCGCCACACAACCCAGCAGGCTTTCTGTGGTTGGGGTTTCAGGGTCTAACTAAGTTCGTCCAAGCGCGTAGGGTTCAGGACTTGCAAACAGTAAGGTCTTGGGTTTCTGCTCTAGGGTGTGGGGGGTTTAGGATTTTAGGGGTTTAGGGTTTAGGGGTTTAGGGGTTAGGGTTTAGGGGTTAGGGGTTCTGGTTTCGGACCGAATTGTTTAGGGTTTAGGTCCAGGTAACATCAATCCCTCCCTGCCTGAACCTTCGGGTTTGGGGTTTAGGCTTAGGGCTTAGGGCTAAGGGCTGAGGGTTTAGGGTTTTAGGGTTTAGGGTTGGGGTTTAGGCTTTAGGGCTGCATGTACAAGCCCTACACTGAATCCTGCATCCACTTTGAAGGCATCAGCCCTAGAAATGCCACGGGCTATGCCGCTGGCGCCTTTTAGCCGCCCCTCTGTCGAATCAGCCCTTATTCTGAAGCTAGTTTGCCTGAGCCCTACTCTCTTCTAACTCTAAACAATACCGGTGCCACAATACCATCCCAAAACTCAAAACCCTAAACCTTGAAAGCCATAATACAGGGGGCCTTCACAATTAGAATAGGGTTGTCGGGCCTATAATTCTATGGCTATAGTAAGGAACCCACCAAAAAAGTATGGGTAACTATCTAGGTTCCGCAGTAGCCCCTTAATGATCAAGCTTTAATAAGGGAACCCCAAAAAGAAAAAGGGCAAAAGGGTACTACGGGGGAACCTAGTTATTTTAGGCCCCTATATTATGGACAAAACCCTAAACCCTAAATCCCAAACCCCAAAACCCTAGACCCTAAACCCCATACTAAACCCTAAACCCCTAGACCCTAAGCCCCCTTTTTTACTCTGTATCGGACCTGTGGGCGTCACCAGGGTCTCCTGCTGCATTGCATCCTGGCTCGGTGCGCGCAGCTTCTTTCTGAATTCTTGAAGTCGCTATTTTAAGTCCTCAATATAGTACGGCACCCTTATAAAAGGGACCCTAATTTAGAGAACTACCCATATGCTAACAGGTTAATGCAGGCGTAGCCCTCTGACTTATCTAGAGCCTCTTCCTACCCTAGTAGAGATCCAACAGTTTGAGGCTCTGAAAAGTTGCGTTTAGCTGAAGAAAGACGAGTCAGAAGTCAGGGATCTACGTCACTAAGCCCTAAACCCTAAACTCTTTACTAAGAATATATATCCCAAAACCTTATTCCTACTCATTGAGGCCCCGATATTAGGCCCTTATTGTAACACCAGCACGGAGAGTGTCTAGCGCCTCAACCCCCCCTTGGTTCCAGGGGCCTCAACCCTAAACCCCAAATCCTGGCCCGAAGCGCATCAAAATCCCACAAAGCGCCCTTCCTGCATGGGCCATAGGCCATAGGCCTTAACACATGTTTGGAGTACTGTTGTGGGGTACATCTGGGTGGTTCTCTAAATTAGGGTCCCATCTTGGGTCCTCAACAGGTGCTTTGAACAAGTGGTCTTTAAAAATATACATGTCCTGGTTACCCCCCCCCTTCCGGTTACCCCATTTGGGGCCGCCCTATGACCAGCATATGCTGGTCACGTGCTGCTTTTAGAAATAGGCGCCCGGACTTTAATCGTCACAAAAGATCAATGATGCACTAAACTGCAGGCCCCTACAAAAGACTTTAGTCGTCACAGGGGACCTACGAAACCGAAGGGTTTAGAATTTCGCGGACCAGAAAGGAGCAACCGACCGTAGGGGGTATCCGACAATTGTATATTACAAGTTGGTTACAGCTAGGAGTTGCTGCTAAGACCCGCCACTCGCCATCGAGCTCGCACCGCAAACATCCTACGCCATGTCGTGCAGCATGTTCAACGACAATGTGGGAGTTTCCGAAAATGAGGGGGTACCCTATTTTGGGGTCCCTTATAGTAAGGATCCTACTATTTAGGGTACTATACTAGGGTCCCCTATTTTCGGAAATCCCCAGCTTTCTGTTGACGACATTCAACACATCGTCCACATCCTCGAGCACATCGCGTCGACCCGGTGGCCCGGTGGTGGATTTGAATTTTGAAAGCCCATGACTATAGGGTTTAGGGCTTAAAGGTGCGAGCTTTTGGAATTAGAGCTTAGGCTGCTCAGGGGCTAAAATCGGGTTTAAGACTTCAGGTTAAGGGCCTAAGCTTAAGAAGGCTCGGGCTCTCTAAAGTCACACTCCTGAAGTACACCCTACTTGAAAACGACCACCCGAGACCCCTGGATCCTACGTCGCAGCTCGACGTGTCAGAGAGTCCGCATCCACCACGGCTCGAGAACATGTGTTTTTTTGGGTCTACTTAGCGCATCAACTGACCCAGCTATCGATAACCTACCACCAAGATCAGTAAGAAAGGGCTTGAGTAACTAGGCCAGGCTTTTCTCGGAAAGGGGAAGGGTTAAGTTATGCTACATATGTAACGAAGAACCCCAAGGCATACTAGTACTACTTTGTTAAAGCCACCTCTTATGCAGGGCATTGGGGGTTGTAGTGCTCCCTCACACTCAGTCTGCCTGGAGTTTGCTGAAGAAGTCGTGGACCACGCCGGTCAGACTGATCCTCACGAGATCAGAGACTCCAATACCACCTAATTAAAACAAATCCCTAAACCCTAAACCCTAAAAAAGGACCTGCTCTTAAATCACAGCAGGGCTCCAAGACAAGGGCCTCTTAAGAACGGAGCAACCTCAAGTTCTGGTAGTAGGGGGCCCCTTCATACGGCCGTAGGAGCCCAACTATTACCTTCATGCTGGGCTAATGTCTTAAGCCTTGCATAAGCCTTTCAGTACCTTAAACCTAAGCCCTAAATCCGAAACCCTAAATAAACCCTCTCCCGAAACCCTAGACCTGAACCTCAAACCGAAAATCGATTATGAAGGATATATGGAGTTCTAGGGAGGGTCCCCAATTACCGGACAGTTCTGCAAGAACGGAGACCACCGTAAACCGAGACCGGAAGCTATGCCCGCAAACTAGACAGTCAATCTTCCAAGAAGCCTCTCGTCTCGCATAATACAACTACCTCAATACTTAGAATATCTTGGAATTCGGGTTTGGCGCACACTATACGACAGCCAGTACGTACAAGAAGGAAGGCCTCACGAATACTTTTCTCTAACCCGTACATCCTTTCAGCGGGTCTTGGTCCTTTGATGTCGTTTGCAAACAGTTCGCCGCAGAGGAGATGAGGCTTGGCTTCGAGTTTCGCAACTTGCAACTCTCACATGGGATTTAGAAAATATGGATATCAGTGCTGTAGGGTTCTATAGTAGAGGATTATGGGACTTAGTAAGTAAGATTACAAGTACCTACCTCGATTGGGGTATTTAAAGGTAAGCATAAGTACAGAGATCTGACTTATAGCCGCGCCGAGTCCCTTGTTGAGGTATCGCTGAGTTACAGGAATCTGGGTAGTTCTCTAAAGAGAAGGGTACGGCACACATATAAAAAGAGCCGTAAAAGGGACCTCCATGTAGGGAACCACCCACCTACGTCTATGCATTTCCAACCGCCGCCAAAGTGCACGCGAGCACGGAGGTCGTAGAAGGGCTGGCAGGAAAGCAC